CGGAGAGTGGTGGTGGATGGTTCCTTCTCGGCCTGGAGGGAGGTGGGCAGTGGGGTCCCGCAGGGTTCGGTCCTCGGACTGATATTATTCAATATCTTCAATATCTTCATCAGCGATTTGGACGAGGGCGTGGAGAGCACCCTCTCCAAGTTCACTTATGATACCAAGTTATGGGCAAAGTTAGTACATCGGAGGGCAGGGAGCAGATTCAGGCTGACCTGGACAGTTTGGAGCAATGGGCAGAGAGAAATAGGATGCGATTTAATAAAGATAAATGTAAGGTACTCCACCTGGGAAGGAGGAACCCCCAGCACACCTATAGGTTAGGGAGTGTCCTTCTCAGCAGCTCAGAGGCAGAGAGGGATCTTGGAGTCATAATTGACTCCAAGATGAACACGAGCCAGCAGTGTAACGAGGCCATCAACAAGGCCAATCGCACCTTGTCGTGCATTAGCAGGTGCATGACTAATAGATCAAAAGAGGTGATGCTCCCCCTCTATGCGGCACTGGTCAGGCTGCAGCTGGAGTAGTGTGCCCAGTTTTGGGCGCCGCACTTCAAGAGGGACGCGGGGAATCTGGAGAGGGTCCAGAGGAGGGCCACTCGCATGAGTAGTGGCCTTCATGATAGACCCTACGGGAGGAGGTTGAGAGAGCTGAATCTCTTCAGCCTTCACGAGATGGCTGAGGGGAGACTTTGTGGCCGCCTATAAATTTATTAGGGGAGGTCAATGGGGAATAGGGGAAGCGTTGTTTCCTAAGGCGCCCCAGGGAGTGACTAGGAATAATGGGTGTAAACTAGTTGAGAGTGGACTTAGGTTAGATATTAGGAAGAAATTTTTCACAGTAAGGGTGGCCAGGATCTGGACTGGGCTTCCAAGAGAGGTGGTGCTAACACCTAGCTTGGAGGTCTTCAAGAGGAGGCTAGATAGTCACCTGGCTGGGGTCATCTGACCTCGGTCGTCTTTCCTGCCAGGGGGAGGGGGTCAGACCCGATGGTCCATTGTGGTTCCTTCTGACTCTACAATCTATGAATCTATGAATAATACATCATGGGGAGTCAATATAATAGAAAACATAACTCAGTAGGAAATTGTACTCAGTAGAAAATATGTATGGTTTTGGAATCTCCATCCTTGCAAGTTTTGAAGACCCGGGTAGACAAAGCCTTGGCTGGGATGACCTAGTTGGGGCTGGTCCTGCTTGGAGCAGGGGGTTGGACTCAATGTGACCTCCTGAGGTCTCTTCCAAACCTCATTTTCTACAATTCTAAGTAAACATAATCTATTAGCTAGTATGAAGCTATCTAATAATAATATCAATATAACTATAGCTAATATGTTATATTACTATTAGCATACAACATAGCCTAAACAGGCCATTAACATATTACTGTTCTATAATTATATAGCATTATCAGTATATAATATAATATATATATTCATGTTATAAAGATAATACCATATATTAATATGGCATTAATATGTTGTTCTAATTATATAACATGTCTATATTAATGCTAGAGTAATATATGTTGTTACTATTATTATATGTTAATATTAAATCTATTACAACAAATTATATTGCATATATTATGTTGACATACATATACATATATGCATATTGTCACAGGGAAAAACAAAAGGGAGGACCCCAAAGGGCCAGGGGGGAACCCCGGGAACAGGAATCCTCAGAAGGGAAGGGAGGAAAAGACAAAGGTGAAGGGGAATACTCACCCGCAGCGGAGCCCGCAGCGAAGTCAGAACACGAGGAGGAGCCCGTGAGGATTGTCAGCCACGCCTTTATACAGCTGCAGCCAGCCGGTGATGTCAGTGGCGATCGCCAGCCGGAGGAAATAAAACGGGCCGCCGGCGAAGAGGCAGGAGGCAGACGGACACCAGCAGGAGCACCAGCCAGAGGGGTCTCTCTAAAGCTCCTGAGGGAGGCCATTTCCCCCCACGGGGAAGGATCCTGCAGCACTCGCTGCAAGCCAGAGACTGCTGGCTGCAGCAAAGAGACCTGAGAGCTAGAGGTGGCTCCTCCCGACCAGAAGCCCAGAGAAAAGGGTAGAGGGGCACGGAGAGACCCTGACGCCAATGACTGCAGCAGAGGGGCTGGAGGTGCCGATGCATCACCTGGCGCCAGACCAGGTGGGACCGTTGAGGGCATCAGGGAAGCCGAAGAGGTGCACCAAATGGGAGACAGGAGGCCAGGGCAGTACGAGAGGCTGCGAAGCACGGACCTCGGCAGCGTTTCGCCGATCCTGTGGGTAACAGGAGGACAGGTGTCTACTGAAGGACCACAGGGGGCCCAAAGATATAGAAGGCTGGGCGACGAGGGAGAGGAATTGTGGTGGAGACCACAGGATATCACGGACATATACAGGGCCTAGCATTGTCCCATAGGGTCAGGGGCGGGTTGGTAGTGACTCGGTCAAGGGGGCCTGGCGGGGGGATGGTTGGATCCTTTAGAGTGTGTCAGTGAGTTTTTTTGTATTTTGTGTTTCCCACTTTTGGAGGGGTTGAGCATCAGGGCTCGTGGAGCCTGATTGTTATGAAGGCCTCAGGGTCAGTGTTAGCTTTAAGGAAAGGCAGCGGCCTTGTGGCCTGGGGAGGATACCACAGACTGCCAATGCTTTCAGCAGGGAGACTCACCCCTCCCACGAAAGTAATCAGGGGCTCAACGCTCAGGAATCTGGCCATGAGGATAGCAATGACCCACCAAGGCTGGGTGTAAGAGCGAGGTAGAGGGGAGGTGGAGCTTCTGTGAGGCTGCCAGATAGACGTTCTGCCATCGAGGGACTCCGAGTGGTTTGACCCTCCACTGAAATAAGATTCAAAGTCGTGGCGGGTGAGACTGGGGAAGACCACACTGGAAATGAACACCTACTCGATGGACTACCATGGACGGTAAGGCGGACACCATCGAACATTCGGACCAAAGCTGCACGTGACTGGATGTTCGAGGCCAGGCGGGCACACATATGTATATATTATATACACGTATGTATGGGTAAACATAATTACATGTGTATGTATTATGTGTGTCTACATAGACATAATAACATAATTACAATTCATAGAAATGTAAATTAAGTAACACAGATGATAAATTACATAGTGGTATATTAGTTGTATTAATATTAGCATAGATCCCGCTGTTGTGGTGCAGAGGTAGAATCTTTGTTGGCCCTGTGGAGACCCAGGGTCAATTCTCAGACATGCACATAATTACAGCCATGGAGGCACCAAATTTCTGGCCTTTGGATTCAGTCTCCATGGTCTAAAGTGGGGATTTAAGATCTGGACAACCTCCACTCCTCTATACTCTGACCTAGGCATATGTGTCAAAGGTCCTGGTGGCCTTGCACGCATACACCCTGATCCAGAAGGATTGATGGTGGTGTACTACTATTGGTATAGGCTAAATAGGCAATTTATCATTTAGAATATCCAATTATTATAACTATAAATGAATATGTAACATGCACATTATTTTGCTCCTTTCATATGGTTGCTGAGGTGCTTTGTTTTGTGCTATGGTCGACTGGCATCAGAATAAATTTAAAAGTGATAAAGAAACCCCTTCATTTTGACTTTCTCAAAATGAAGAAGGCCATTTGGCCTCTTGGTTGGCTTTTCCATCCAAAACTTCACCCAAACCAGTGAGATTCGAGGCAGCATATGGGTGCCAATGGTTTTCTGACTGAAGTTAGTTTCATTGGGAGCCCTTTTGCAGCCACCCCTATTGGCCAATAGATGTCCCTGTTGACTAGAAACTACCATCTCCAATGAAGTTTTGTTTTGAGACCTGGCTGGGAAAAGGTTGTTTTTTATTTACTCTTCTCAACCCTGAGAAACAGCCTTGCTGCCAAGAGCTGGGCACGAAGCCATGAGCTGAAACTGCAGCAAGGCAGATCTAGATTAAATTTCAAAGGGAAACAGATAAAAAATCCTTGTTACTGGAACAGCAGGGCAGTGGAAAAAGTTGTGGAAGGGGAGTGGTGGTATCTCCTTCTGGGGGTTGAATGAGGGACCTTTAGAACTAAACAGATGTGCCCCTCCTCTAGAAGCTGAAACAATGCAGGGCTGTAATGCTCACTCTGTGTTGGGTTGACTAATCAGGGGAGGACAACCTGTGGCTTGGGCAGCCTCTGTGTGGCATGCAGCAGGTTGGAGAGGGGGGCAAGAAACACAGAGGTAGGCAGCAGAAAGCAGAGCACCAGGTTGGGCAGGGAGCCTAGGGTAGGAGCAGAAAGCAGAGCTATAGATTTGGCAGGCGGCCTAGGGCAGGGAGCTGAAAAAAGAGCAACAGATCAGGTAGAGGAAATGGATTGGAGTGGCACTCAGGGATGGGCAGGGCTTAATTTGTGACACCTGTCAAAAATGTTGGGCCCCACTGGAGAAAGAGGTTACTGCCAGAGTTCAGAAGAGATCAACGCTCTGGTGGGGACCCTGGCTACAGGCTGGGTTCTTACACGCTGATTTTGATTCTGGCATGAATCCAGAGCCCTCTTCTAGTGGAGTGGGGGCCAGGGCTTGAATCTGCTCTCAGCAACTCTGGGGTCTATCCAGAGACACCTCCCAGTGGCTGTCTATTTGGGGCCAAATGACACAATGTTGGTCTAAGTCAGCAGCGATGGACTCAACATACAACTCCGCATCTTGGAGAAATGAGCAAATTGGTCTCTCTACCGTCTCTCTATCTAGGCATAGTGAGATACTTGGGCATCCTGAAGATGTGGACTACTGGCAGTGTTTGCAACACTGGGGTCACCACAATGATGCTGGGGCCTGGGAACTGGCTGAGGGGAGGTGCTCTGTGCTGCCAAGGGACGAGTGCAATGGAGAGGTAGTGATGTGTATGTGTTCAGGGTTTCATAAGGATCAGCACGTTCCCTTTCCCTTGGGAGGAGTCCTTCAGTTCTTCAGGGGGCACCTCATTGGGAATCACTGGGTTCTTGAGGAGTTCTCCACCCCATAGGGGGAATCCTATTGAAAATTATTGGGTAGGAACCCAATGATTTTCAATCGGATGCCTCCTACATGGGTGGAGTCCTTCAGCTCTGCAAGGGACACCCATTGGGTACCTGAAGGCATCCAGCCCATCAGGAGGTGCTGTATTGAATAGCACTAAGTCTCTGGTGTTGGGATTATTCAAAGATGGTAGGGGTACCTCTCTGACTTACCCCTTCCTTGGTGTGTTTACATACACACTGGTCTCGATCCATAAGCGTGAAGTGGCCCCCAGACCCATCATCAGCTACAGTCCCAGGCAAGCCTTGCCCTTTATTGGGGCCACCCTCTCCCTTGGGTCTTCCTCCTCTCCCTTGTTGCCTACCTGCTGGTGTGGTGACCCACCTGAGCTCCCAGTCTCCTAAGGAAGGCATCATGTCTAGTGGGGCCTCTCTGTCCATGACTTGGGTCTCAACAAGGCTCCTGATTCTGATTTCCTGTACACCTGTATGCCAAGAGAATGACTCCATTGTGATCGGTAGATCCAGATGTGAACCTGAAGTCTCCAAGCTGCAGTGAAATCAGGGTGAGATGGCAAGTTCCCCAGGAGTCAATTTGAAGTCATTCTGGTTAAAGGGGGCTTCTGGATTGGAATCTGATCTTGGTTCTTGTGGCATTAATCCAGACTCAGCTCCTCCTTTCCCAAGAGTTTCCCAAGGCGGGTAAAATGGAAGTGCCTCTCAATTAAAGGTGGTTTGGACCAGAATCCGGTTGTGATCCTTGTGGGGTGAATCCAAAGTCAGGTCCTTACAGCCATTGTGTTCCATAGTGGATACTTATTTGTTTGACACCTCCATATAGCAATGCCAGTAAAATAGTGGGATATTAAACCTGCAAAAAAACCTGTAAAAAAAAAAAAAAAAGAAAGGGGGTCAAGAGGGCGCAAAGGCCCCCATGGCTCACCAAAAGCATCCGGGAACATCTCCGAAAAAAAAGGAGGCGTACACCCGTTGGAAGGGAGGGGCCATCACAAAAGAGGGCTATACCTTGGTAGCTCGGGAATGTAGGGGGGTGGTCAGGAAGGCCAAGGTGGAAATGGAGCTAGGACTAGTGACCCAGATCAAGGACAACAAGAAGTCCTTTTTCAAATACATAGCAGGGCAAAAGAAGGTGCTAGGTAACGTGGGGCCTCTGCAGGACATGCTAGGAAATCTGATCATCTCACCTGATGGTGAAGCTGACATATTCAACAATTTCTTTGCCTCCGTATTTCTGAGGAGGGATCCAGATATCTCCCCCACTGGCACCCCTGAGGGCCCTGTGGGTGGCACACCCAGGCCTAGGGTTAATGAGGACCTTTTCAGGGAACTTCTGGAGGGACTAGCTGTATTTAAATCCACAGGTCCTGATGATCTTCACCCTAGAGTGCCGAAGGTACTAGCAGGGGTCATTGCGGGACCTCTGGTGCAGCTCTACGAGCACTCATGGTGCTCGGGTGATGTGTCAGAGGACTGGAAAAGGGCCAATGTGGTCCACATCTTCAAAAAAGGGAGGAAGGAGGACCCAGGAAACTATAGGCCTATGAGTCTTACCTCGGTCCTGGGGAAGCTTTTCAAAAGAATTATCCTGGGACATGTCCAGGAAGGGCCGGCAGGGGAGGGTATGCTCAAGGGCAACCAGCATGGGTTCATTAAGGGAAGTCTTGTCAAACCAACCTGGTGGCCTTCTATGACCAGGTCACCAAGTCCTTGGATGCAGGTGTCACAGTGGATATA